TCTTTGCAAATTCCTAATGACTTCTGTTGATTTCCGACAGAGTGAATTGTAAAATTATTCCAAATTCTGAATGAAAATGTCTTTATTTTCCTCCCCTGGCTGAAAAAGCAGGACAAACCTCATGAAGTTACTCATTAACGTCATCCGTCTTGAGAGCGCGGTGCAGGAAGGCTGACATTATGACAGCGACCTGCAACCTTTGCCCAGCAAGTGTCTTTATTTTGTTCCAAAGGAGCGGAAGAGGAAGACAGAAAACACAAGTTGGGAACCGGAGACGTACACCTGCCGTGGTCGTTGGATTGAACAGGTGAGACTTTCTGTATATTTTGTGTGATTTTTGTGTAAGTTGTCAGATGGGTTCCTGTGATCATCTACGTGACGTTACAGAGCAGCAGCAGCACCGAGTATGTTGTTGTCATATGACTTCTGAGGCCTGCCGAGACACCGTCGCTGCTGTGTGCCCACCAAAGAAACACTCATTCTTATAGTCAGAAAGCAAACCTTACAAACATAGAATAGTTTAGGAGCTGTTTCCATTTACTCATCAGCTGTCTCGGATTAAACGTGTGTGTGTTTAGTTTATGTTTCAGGTTAATTAGTAAGCAGTTCAGGATTGCGGCAATGAACGTTGCTCCCCAGCATCATGTGACAGCAGTTAGGAACATGTTTTTGTAGTTTAGATTGTATAGTTGTGAATATTTCCTTCCCAAAACCACAAGAGAGAGTTTTTTGTTGTCTGGATGAAAGACTTTTAGACTGAAATGAAAGAGCTTTTTTTGCTCTTGACTGAGGAAATATCAGGTTTGGAAAATCCTGAATTCCTCGATAAAGGGGTGAGATTACTGGACCGCCCCTAAAGCTCAACTGGTTGAGCTGGTGACCCATGAACAGGCCCCGATGGGTTCACGGGTCATGGGTTCGGATCCAGCCCATGGCCATTTGCTGCGGCCATCTTCTCCCCACTTCCCTGTCAAATAAAGACAAAAAGGCCATAAAAATAACTTTTAAAAGGGGTAAGATTATTTATAATAGTGACAAAGATGATCATCATTAAAAATAGATTTACTTTTCTGACTTACTTCGACCTAAATGTGTAAATTGAACGTAATGTACAACATTACTGAGTCACTTTACTGCTGCGCATTACTTATTTTTTATGTATATATTGTTTATATGTGATGTACATGATCTTTATTCTGTTTTTTTGATAATATTCATAAGTGTACATTATGTTTTTTTTCCCTTTTTTTTTTTTTTTTGCACCATTGTGGATGCGAAAGCGAATTTCGTCGTTCAATGACAATAAAGATTTTGTCTTATCTCAACATGCAAACAGCAGGAAGCATAAAGAGCTTTTTGTTTCTATATTTAACAATAAGTTAAAACATACTTCAACATGTTTGAAGAAGACATCAAACCTGTGATATTCTATCTAATTCCATACGGCACAGATGATTGGTTTATTGGCTCTGGAAGATGAATTCTTATTTCATGTCAGGATAGCTTCATATGAGAATCCCACATGTACAAGATATTGGCTGTAATTCGTCCTTCTTTCCATACCGGCTGTACAAATATTCCCTCCAAATGCAACGTGCTGCATAAGAGATGTGCAAGAAAACCACAGCTATAGTAAAACTGCATTCTTGCCTCCAGCTGAGGCTTTGAGTTGAAATGATTTTAATTTTTAGTTCGAATTTTCCTTCTTATGTTAACCTGAGAAGAAATGATGCACTTTTCGTGATTCTCATGAATGTAATCGTGACTTTCTTTTTGTCTCGTCGGACAGAGAGATGGGTCAGTCGAGGATCTTTGCGGTGCTTCTCCTCTGTGCGCTCCTGACCAGAGATGCACATGCTGCTGCCATATCTGACGTTGAGGGACACAAAGGCTCTGAGAGACACCTTCTGATGGAGTCGGATGATCTTACCACCGGCAGTGGCACTAACAGCAGCAGCCTGGCAAGTAAGTAGTAAAATCATTGCTATTTTAACAGCTCCTCGCTATTTACAAGCAGGCGTGTTTGACGAACTTTGTACGTTGTAAGATTAAAACATTATGGCTTCATACGGAGCATTTTTTTTTTTCCTGATGTTTTGCTCAGAGGGACCAGACACAGCGGGCCCAAAGTCTCTGGAGTGGTCCTATCTGGCCGGGGCCCTCGGCACAGTCCTCGCCATCTCCCTGATCATCGTCATGGCCGTGAAGTTTCGCGTTTTCCATCGCTTCCTGGCCAGCTACAGACACTCCCTGCTAGAGGAGGCCGAAGGAGCCAGCCAGTACGGCCAGGACGACGGGGCTCACCCCAACAGTGTGTCGGGTCGGATGGGAGTGATGGGCGGGACTCAGAGTGGGCTGGAAGACGACGACGACGGCTTCATCGAGGACAACTACATCCAGGCCAGTGAGAAAGACAGAGCGGAGAGAGAAAGGGAGGAAGAGGTGGAGATGGAGGACGCAGAAGACAGCGACGACGATCTGCAGTTCACTATAGGGTGACAGGATGAACTCATCAGTTAGTTTAAACCTGAGATCTTACAACAGAAACCCTGACAGAGAGATTTTGATTGACAGTAAAGCAGTGATGCTTCTGGTGTCCGAGCCCTAGAAATAAAAAGCAGATCTATAAACATCACGAGAAAAGTTTAAAGAAATAAGAGAAACAAAATGTGTTTATTAGAACTTTTGTGATTACTCATTTGGTGATTTATCTTGTGACCTCTTGGAGAAGTTTAGTTTGGGAAATGCTGGGAATACACAGCAGGCGTACGATAAAGGCGAGGATCATTATCGATAGATCTAGTGGAGAAAAAGTTTTCTAAACACTGGACAGCAGAGGATCTTTACAAGGGATGGGAGTAGATACACAAACGATCACGACATGTTGTTAATGATAATATCAGATCACAGTGAGCAAGGCGATCGTCTGAGATACATCATAGCTGCCTAACGGAAGAAAAAAAAAATACTGATAAAATTATGTATTTCTTCACTGCATTGTGGTTTTAGTGTGTGTTTATTATAATCATGATCATTTTTTTTTTAAATGTTTGTGCATCTGATTCGCTCCTCAAATAGTCTCTGATTAGTGAGTTGAAAAAACATTAAGCCGTTATGAAAAGTCCCATCTTTAAGCACATATTAGCAAAAACAATTAATCATACAGAAGTCAGCTATATTCTCTAAACCATACAGTCGTCCTCAAATGTATTCATACCCTCCCACTAAAGAAGGGAAAAAAAACAGCTTTGGTCACTGAAATAAAACTGACAAAAGTAATAATAAATGAAAATTTAATGAAAATCATGACATTGCTTTTGAATTGTGGTTCAACAGAAATATTAAAAAAAACAACCAAACAAGCATGATGGGACCCGTAAACTAATATGTAGTTGAACAACCCTTTGAGCCAATCACTGCCATCAGGTGTTTTCTGTAACTCTCAGTCAGACTTCTGCACCTGTTGACAGGTATTTAGATTTTTTTTTTTTAAATTATTCTTTTCAACTACAATTCAAAAGCAATGCCTTATTTTGCTAAATTATAATTTAGCAATTTTTTTATTTATTACTACATTTTCCAGTTTCTAGTTATTTGAGTGACTGTTGTGAATTTTGCCTTTTCTTTAATGGAAGGGGATGAATACATCTGAGGACGACTGTATGTGGCAGCATGTCACAATAATACAAAACAAAACATATAGAATTGTTCTAATATAAAAACACCTGGTCACAAAAATTAAGAAAAAAATGATAATTACGGCACTTTTGCTAAATTTTTAGAATCAATTGAGCGATTTGAAAACAAACATATCGCTAGATGGCCTGAGCCAAGTAGAATTTCAAAATGACCAAAAAATAACTAAGAAATTAGAGTTCACCATCTGACTTCTCTGTTTGATTATTTTGGTCCAATATTACATATTCTGAATCAGAGACCTGTTAAGAAACAAAAACGAACATTTCAGGCTTCTATCCTTCATATTTCCTGAGATATTCAAACATGGTCTCAAATTTAAATGTGAAAAAAATGCTGAAAGTTGGTCGACGGACAGTTTTCAGAAAGTTTTATTTCAAAAAGTACTTCAAGATATGAAGCTAGAATTGTACATAAACCTTCTGTAGTTTATGATTTAAAAAAAAGTTTAAAGCAAATCAGAGATGGTCGAGCAGAAGACCTCTGATGATCTGAGATTGACTCACTCAAACTGGACTATGAGGATAAGTGAAGTTGTGTTTAGAGAGTCTGCATGTTTTAAAAAAAATACTGATGTTTCTCTCCAATGTGTTAATAATGTGCCACAAGAGGAAATCAAACAATTTATTGCTGTATTGATTTTTTTGTGCCACGTTTAATCTTCAAGGACTGTTTCTCTTTTATACTGTGTACACATTGTTCTGTTTAAATTTACAATAGTTTTTAATTATCAAACTGTTTGCATATCGCAGAGCACAATAGAACATAATAACTGCACATCGCGTCCCGCTAAATGAGAAGCACTTGCCAATCACTTGAGTATTCACATTTACAACAGCTGATTGGTTAATTATATTCCAACTCTGTCATCTTTGCTGTATCCTGAATGCTTGTGTGTATAGTCAGAGCTGATTTTTGTAAACATACACTTTATAAATAAATTCATTCTTTTTGAAATTCTTTATTCATTCATTCTAAGATATTCTTTGCCAGCATTTGGGCTTCGACTCAGAGACACAGAAGTCAGAAAACACAGACAACACGGTGATGTTTTGATTCGATGCGACACTTCCTGAGACTTTATTTACAACCACAAAAGTGTATTCAGAGAGTGACACTGTGCACTTGTTGAGCTTTTTTTGACAGCAGTCTTTTGTTCTGATTCAAATTGTGTGAATGTTTTCTTCTGATGATGTTCAGCAGTTTTTCTTCTTCTGTTGTTTCTGATTTCCTCTGACTTGTGTAACGACTTGACAGTCTTTTCCTCTCAAACACTCTCTTTCACTTTGGCACATTTAGTCCATTCAGATCAGACTGGTCCTGCTGGAGGATGCCTCCCTCCTGACCTGACTCATCTGCCCCCCTGAGACATTGAACACCCGGACGGCTCGACTCCCCAGCCTCCTCGCTCTGTTCATCCTCATCCTCCTCCTCATCCTCTGCTCCCTTCTCCTTTTGAGGTACACCAGCACACTGTAGGCCACCACGGCCAGAGCCATGCCCGCCCCGGCGGCCATCAGCACCAGACCGGACACCAGCATCTCCCTGCTGTCGTGACCCCGGGTGCCCACGGCGGCCAAACAGAGCAGCACCGTCCCGCACAGAGTCACCGCCAGCCCCACGGCTAAAATGAGCGCCGGGTCAGCCCTCCCGCCGCTCTTCAGCTGGTCGATTCGACGCCGGCTGCGCACACAGTTCATGTCCTGTATGGCAGAGCTGAGGAGCTGCTTGAGGAGAACGGCGAGGGCCAAGAGGCAGAGGGTGGTGCCCACGCCGAGACGCCATTCCCCCGACAGGCTGGTGGTGGTGGAGAGGAGGCCAACGCCGCCGAGGCCCAGCCCCAGGATGAGGGCAACCGAGGCGCAGTAGCACAGCAAGGAGCGCCGAGGCTCCCTGAACCACCACAGCTCCACCTGATCCTCCAGGACCCGCCGCTGCATGAAGGTAGGGTCCAGGTAGAGGCTGGGGGAGCGGCGCATGGTGTGGAAGAAGGTCTGCATCTCAGGCATGGTAAGCCACTGGGACAGGACAACACCTTAAAGGATTGTACAGGACGTGGATTGATAATCAGAAGACACGATAGCAGGATTTGAAGTAATTCTTCTCGAGAACATCCCGTGTTTCATCTCCACCTTTGTGAAAACACTTACTTTGCTCTGGTGTCCTTCCACCTACATCCCATCTGACAACTTCGGTCAAAGCATCCCAACAGTTCGTTTGGAAGATTCCACAGTTGGTCTCATCACGTCATTCTGTAGAAGAGTTGGTGTCTGTCCGAAGCAAAAATAATCCAGCTTGGAAGAAAAACTCCCAGTGATCCTGAAGTTGGTTCCAGTGGTGAACACAGATGTTATTCTGACTCAAACTGGAGGCAGAAAATCAGGACAGCAGGGACTCCCACAGCGTTGAACTCATTGGAAGCAGAGAAGCGATGATGGTGTTTACGTAGCCGGTGCACATGTGGAGCATTCATCACCACGGTGACTGTACTGGTGCCCACCGATCGATAACCCGTGTCCTCTTTACATCGCTGCCCCAGTGCCAGGCAGAACAGACACCCCCCCTCCTCTCATCACACGGGAAACACCATCTTGTCTGGTTGAGTGGGAAAGCGACGGGTCACAATAGCAGCGTTGGATCATGCTTTGGACAGAGATTGGCGACATTGTCCGCCGAGCCCCAACGCAGACAATGGGCTGACCAATGAACACAATGACTGTGCTGCGGGAGGCGGGCGGCGGCGTGAGGGGGGACGTGGAGGGCCGAGTGATGTCAGCGTGCACTGATAATGGTGTTTCTGTGATCCCAAGGATAGCGTCATTCACACCCTGAGCCGGCTTCGTAGACAGTGAATGCTGTATCTCCTCAGTGAGGAGAACCTGCTGGTCTTCCAGTAGCACACCTGCCACAGCTATAAACACTTCTTGAGGACATTTCATGGTTTGTCTGATATGTTGGGATATGCACTGACTTTATTGCCAAGATAGTTGCACCTCTGTAGCGTGGTCTAAGATCTACAAGTTGTGATTTTATGGCTGTTCATGTGCTGGAACGTGCTTGTCAAGAAATGTATTGATTGCTCTAAAGGGACTCTTAGGTAGACTTTTTAACCTTTGGGTGGAACCGGGTTACTTGTTTACTGACTGTCTCCCAACTGTAGCTTCAAATTTAAGAGACCGAATGGTTCCAATCATCCATCCATCATCTCTACATAGGGGTCATAGGGGTCATAGGGGGCTGGAGTCTATTCCAGCTGACTCAGGGTGAAGGCAGGTTCACCTGGACAGGTAACCAGTCTATCACAGGGCTACACTTAGAGACAGTGTCCTCACCGGGACGCGAACCGGCGACCTTCTAGCTGCGAGGCAACGATGCTAACCATCGCTCCACCTTGCAGCCCCCCAATCAATCCACTAAACTGAATTACACCTTTAATGACTCAACACTTGCCTGCTATTATGTGCTTCCATTTCTTCCCCAGAATCATCCTGAAGCATTTGAGAAACAAGGACATGTTTGGGTTTTTGTCATAACCAGTCAGTCTTCTTGGAGAGACCCTGTAGCTGTGTGTGTGCTGGATTGTATGACGCATTTACAAGTATTCTAATTAATGATGGATGCATTCTGTCAAAGGCTTGTCAACATTATATACCTTCATGGAGGTGTGTACGCCTTTGCTTTTCCTGCCCTGAGATGTTTCGCTGACTTATAGTTTCCCTCTGGTTATTTTTTAACCCCCTAAAAACTAATCTGTGTATCAGAGTTACATATTTAGAAGCTTTTTCCTCCTTAAATATAATCATTTCCTTCCTTATAATGGCTTAGATGTAACGTTTCATCATTGCTAACATTCATAAAGCAGGAACTTGGAAGTAGAAAACCTTTATCTAAGTCTTGCACAGAGAGCACAAGCAGTCCGAGCATGGTTTGCCAGAGTGAAGAAGTGGTGCTTTTATACTGTGGATGGTGATCAGCGGATCATGATCAGGTGCTCGATGACTGGATTCAGTGCAGGTGAGGAGGCAGCCGGAGGGATGACACTCCCCCAGCAGGGACAGAGCAAAGAGGGGTGGAAGAGAGAGGCAATGAGTATAGAAAAGCACTCAGAAATACTATAAATACAGCAGCTGCCATGGTATGAACAAGGTAAGAAACTTGTTTTTTTACAAGAGAGGGTTCTTAAGATCATCCAATAAGGAGAAATCATTTGGAATTAAGGAACAAATCTTAATACAGAAGCAAAACTTAAACTATTTTGTCAGTTACGTTATGATGCAGAGCCCAGATGAAGTCTGGACACCCTGGTGTCTGGATACTGGGAGTGGTGGAGCAAAATTAGCAGATGTAGACTGTGGTTGAGACGTTCTGATCAGAGGAGGAGATGGATCCAGTGTCTATATAGGGGCTGATTGGCTCAGACAACATGTGCAGATTGCGACTTTGGAAAATGGAATTGACAATAAAGAAAGAGGATAGAAGAAATAGAGACAAAAGGTGAAGGAGCAGATCTTCCTTTCTAAACCTAACATTGGCCAACGGTGAAAGGCTGCATTTTTAATCCTTTATACTCTCGTGCCTCCGTCTGCATTAGACAATGAAGAAACTGATGATAAGTGCCATCTATCTTCATTTTCTCTCATCACCAGCGATGAGTTGATGCTGAGCCGCTCTGGAAACCTCCGGTGGACTTTTTGCCGTCATCACACAAAACCCACTTCCTCCCCCTAGTGGACACCGGCCATTTTATTAGGAACACCTGTGAAATCTAATTGAATCCAATGACACAACTCTGCTATAAATTCAGAGTTTCTTGACTTGAATAAGGTGAAGATTCTGCTTGTTTCAGTTCGTTATTGAGGCCATTGTAGGCGGTGGGGGTTTATTGGACTGCGTTACTTTTAAAAGCATAAATAAATGGGGCACCACCACACTTTGTAACGTCAGTAATCAGTGTAAAGTACAATCATCACTTTTTGACGACGATAAAAAGTGTAGAAGCTTCTAAACAGAAGAATTTATGGCACAGCTGTTGTTGATTATGTTCTATTTCACACCTAATAAAGTGGCCTGACGCTCACCTGAAGTCACCCCATCTCAGCACATCCTAAATTTACCTAAAATGTTGGATTTTATAGTTGTCGTAAACCAAAAAGCGACCCGCAAGAACTCAGAACGGGACAGAAATGAACAAATGAGGCAACACATGGACGGATGCACATTCTGAAGGAAACACGACTTTCTTTGTAAAAACCTGAAGCTGCACCCTGGAGGTTTGTTACAGGATTAGTATTGAATGCCGGAGTAAATATCACCAGCCTGTCCCCGGTCAATATGATTCATCCACAAGCCGCCCCTTAATCCTGTACGGTCATTAGAACAAAGCCATAAGGCAGAACGTATCGATTCACGATAATTACTCTTATTATCGATCACAGATGGAGATTTGATGCACCATCAAGTAGACATATTGCCGGCTGCCCCGAGCAGAGCTCTTGTTTTTCACTAAATCACGAAATACTGTTTCTTCTTATGAAGAAAAAGTTGCTAAAGATAATTAAAACAAATAAGCCAGCCATTAAGCAAACACGCAAAAGTATTTGTACCAATCATGGCGACGGGTTACTACGTGTTTGGCATCTTTGTGAACAGCTGGTGGTTGTGTACGTTTATTTGTTTGTTAGCCCGGTGATGGAGGAGCCTGTCATTCGCCCGCTATTCTGGGAGTGACTCCAGAACCGAGAAAAAGAACTGGATGCAGATTCACCAACCGGGGAACAGATGTGTGAACAAATTACATGTTGTAAATTCCTGAGCATAAAATATACAGTGTGATGCTTATTTATTGCTTTACCGAAGGAGGCTGCAGTTCAGGCTTGACATATGTGTATAGAGTGGAGTCTGTATGTGTTTTTGCATTCAGTGTCACTGTCCAATCATGAGCTGTCTATAAAAAAGGACAGAAATGGTTCCAAAGCTTACTGTAAAACCTCAGAAAAATCCTTTCATAAAGTGGCAGAAAACAGAAAAACCTGTGGATTTCAGTGGATATAGTCACATTTAACGCCATTATTCATCCAGCTCTATTTCTGATCGCCTCATAAATGCAACTTAAAATACCCCCAATGTACAGTTAAATGCAATATCTGTGTTTTCTTGAAAAATGTGTGACGTTGTTGTGTTCACAGATGAACCTGCAGAGGGCAGTAGCCTCCAGCTTTGGACAGACGCCTGCAGGGTGCCCAAAGGCAGGACTGTATGGATACAATACTGTACATGGGTTTACATGGGGGGAAAAAAACAACAACACAAGTACAAAGACTTTGAAAATGATCACGCAAGGGAAAAAAATGCTCAGTGAAGGCGACCAGTGCCGACAACGTGGGTGCAAATGCTCTCAGAAGACATGCATTCAAAATGTTCCTGTTAACGCTGCTAAATATAAAATGGCATTAACATCTAATCATAATTAAATTATTAAAAGTACTATATATGCAGACAGCTGGCCCCTGTACAACCTCACTGATTATATATTATATTCCTGGCTGGCTAATGCATCAATGTCATTTTAATTTTGCCGTTTAATTTCTTACAAACTGGAGCTTCTCCCCCAAATTTTGTTAATTTCTTTCTGGAACTCATGAAGCAGCAAACGACTGATTAGCAGCCGACGTACATCCACAGATTTTCAAATACACAATAATAATGATAAAGCACAGCCAGCATGTCTTTATGTAATGACTGACTCTGCAACGTTGAGATCAGGGCTCCGTCGGGGTCACGCCATCTGCTCTTCTTCTCGTCGCTGAAAATAGTTCCTTGTGATGTATGTTAGAGGTTGTTTTAATGCTGTAGGGCCCAATCAGACTCACTAATAGTACTCTATAATGGAAGGAATGGAGCTTAAAACATGTTTCACTAAAAGAAGATCATTGGACAGCATCTAGTCAGAGTTCCTTCACGTTTACTAGAAGATCTGGAGGAGGGATGTGATTCTGCTCACTGCTTGTGG